ATAACAGAAGCTGTATTTGGTCTCGTAAAATAAGATTTTCTTAGACATTTTATGTCATTTGAAGAATGTTATTATTAATATAGCCTAATTACGGGACATATATATTTGCGGCTGTTTGATAGGCAAATATAATATTCTCTTTATTTAGGCCTACTACACTTACAATTTTAAAATTATACGTCAGTTTTAAAGTTTGTTGCGTTATAATAAAATTGTACAATAGATGTATGTACAGGATTTTGTCATCTGGGTTCAAATCTGGATACTTTATTACTTTACTACTAATTACTTTAAATGAGAAATGCCTATATTATCTGCCCCCTACTGTACCACATTTCAACTCAATCAGTTCAGTAGTTTGTGCTTGCGAGAGCAACAAGAAAATACACAAACTCACAAACTTTAAGATTTATAATATTATATATATTATAAGAAGTGTTTAGGAGTCCAGTTACAAAATCCAAATGTGGCAACAATTCCTTATAATAATTCCAGTTATTGTCAAAAACTCATTTATACATGAGCATAAATGGAAAATTATTATTCCGTATATGAGTAATTTAATTCCATACCTGGGAGTCATATATGGCCATATATAGACAATGATTCCATATATGGAGGATATTTATGGCCATATATGGGCAATAATTTCATATATAGAAAACATGTATGGCCATATATGGACAATCATTTCATATATAGAAAACATGTATGGCCATATATGGCCAATAATTCCATATATAGACTACATATATGACCATATATGGACACCACCATATGTGGATACAACCACATCTGGCCATATCTGCTTCCATATATGGCCATATTAAACCATATATGGCTTTATAAAAACATATATGGAATTTTGATATGGCCATATATGGCCAGAAATTACTTTTTTATAGGGGAAATAAAAAGAGTTCTAGATCACTTCTGTCAGTTAATACTTAAATGGATTTAACAACATCTTTTTATTTTCTTAGGATACCCAAAAAGTTTGAATTCGTAAGCAGAGCGATTCGCACTAAGATACAGGTTAGATTATGTTATCAAACACGATACAGTAATAAACTTGACTTGTATTACGTGCAAGAGCAATTTCATGGTAGAAAATTACACCAAACTCCAGAGATCACATGTTAATGCTGTTCCTGAGATTACCATACAAATGACAGGTTGCTGTACAACACCGATCCTGCGATACTAAACAAAGGCTTAAATACATCACATGGATCGTAGTGAACTACTGGAATGAGTGTGTTAAACTTCAGAACCTTTCATTCTATGTTAGAAGAATCGTTGACTATATCTGTAAAAAAATACAACAAATTAAATGTCTTCAACTGAACTCAATTTGTATTTAACCAGAAAAGTAGATTGGAAATTAAGAAAAATATATGTTTAATTAAAATTATACTTGTATTGTTAAATTACTGTATTTTGAATATTTTAGAGTAAAACCACTTCACCTCGCAATTAATTTCTAATTTTTAAAGCTCTTATGAATGTTGTTGGATCAATGTTTTTCCGTATGGTCCTAAATAAACCCCCATTTAATATTATTCTCTATTCTGTCATATAAACTGAAAAACAATTTATTCACAGTGAAAAGACTGTTGTTACGAATAAGCAGATTTTACTCCGAAAATTGTACATGAGATTTACACTTATTTTTAGCGAATTTCCCTATAGGGAAGTAGCTATTACCGTAGGTGGCACGGTAAGACCTAGACCCGGGACCGATTTACTTTTTCATTTTGATGTCCCCAGAGGCCAAAAACACTATTCGTTCAAATTTTTTTTTTTATATATATATATATATATATATATATACGTCCATGAACGCGATAACTTGAGTAATTTTTGTCCGATTTTGATGAAATTTGGTTTAAAGGTGTAAAGCGGGATAAACTTGAATGAGTTCGCGGATGCATTGCACGACGTCCAAGTGCCACGACGTCCAATAATATTTATTCAGTGCCACGACGTCCAAAACATAATTTTTGAGTTGTTGCACGACGTCCAAGTGCCACGACGTCCAAAAGTACAGTAACTGCCAAAAATATAGTCTTTCTACAAGCTTTGGACGTCGTGGCACTTGGACGTCGTGAAAAAGCGCACTATAGAATTGTAAAAAAGTAACATTTGCACGACATCCAAAGTCGCTGCCAGTTGCATGACGTCCAAGTGCCACGACGTCCAATAAATATTTGACTGTTGCACGACGTCCAATATAGCTCAGCGCTGTTGCACGACGTCCAAGCTCCTTCATGATGACCGGTTACGATGACCGGCTACTTGCCGAATAGTGTTCTCTCGTGTAAAATGCTTATGGAACCTTTATTAGTTATATATACATGGGTATATGTTCTTGTTCAGAAATATATATACTATGAATATTTTTACCATTAATTGAAACATCATAAAGTAAAAAAAAACATAAAAAAAAATAAACAAGGCAACAGTTGGAAAACTATAAGTTTTACATGGTTTGAAAAATGATGACATTTTGTTAACAACCGATAAACTTCATTATGTTTGGAGTAAGCTTTTAAATACTCATTTTTTCAAGACCAGATGAATGTACATTGATCAACATGATCTTTGAAAACTATTTTTTATACCCTCATTTTAATTTTTACTAGTATAAAGAATAGAATGCCTTTTTCGAACTGTTTTTTAGGCTTCAATTAAATGTTCTTATGTCGCAAATATGTTTATTAATAGTATTCACTTAACATTGACTTAATGTTGTTTCAATAAATTTTGTGTTTGTGTTTTGCTACACCACTGCAACCAACAAAAAAACAAAAATTTAAATTTATTTAGTTTAATTTGCAACCAATGAGAATATTATATAAATAAGTTGTACACAGGGTTCTTTTGTTTCCCCAACTCTAAAATACAACGCACATGAATTGGAAATGTTATAGGTTTTAATAGTACTGTAGCAAATCGAATATCAATAAAGTTAACGTATAACAATAAATTTACATATTCCTAGATTATAATTGAATGTGTTTACGAAGGAACACCACAGCCTCAAAATTCAACAGTACAGTATATTTACTCAAGATTTATTGTTTTCATATAGCACAGTTGATGTTGCCAACTAGCGTGGGAGCGGAAGTCCTGATAAAGGCTGGTTCTCGGAAAAGTAATAAACTTGTAGTTTGAATGAAACATTTTTTTTATTTTGTAGAGGATTCATGGGATCCTCAGCAACTGCAAAATGTGTGTCGAAGGTCTGATTAGACCTTCCGAGATTTAGACCTTCAGCAACTGATCCGTTTTTTACCTTCCTTTAATTTATTCTTTTTCACGTTGTTCTTCATGTAACATACATAGACTAGAGGGCCTCTCATGCCCTTGACAAATAAATTAACATTTTCGCACAAATACAAATCAATATCGTCATTAGACAAGAATTAAAAAATAAAATTTATAAACAAAACTTACCACGGCATATTCTTGAACAAGTATGCCAACAAACCTAAGATAAGCATGTTTGTTATTATTATACTTAACCTACAAATGCTATGACTTAGGGCATACCTGCTTTCCTAGATAAAATATCCGAACTAATTGCGAGTGCAACGTGAACTTAGAAAAAGACTAGTAAGAATTTACAACTGAATTTCTCAGAATTGATTGACAGTTCAGACGAACCTATGGCCACAGACTACGGAAACCTACAGTATTATTGTATTAGTATACTGTATTTGTATTATTGTGTTACTAGCAGAGTACCCGTCCTTCGTACGGGGTGGGCATATAAGTATAAATGCTTATTGGAGTTATGGGAGAGGACACGATTTAAAAAAAAATGGTCTTTTAATTTATACAGTATCCTATAGTGTAGCACACATCTACCGTAGTCCTGATGTTCTACCACTGCACCTAAACCATGGAAAAAAGTAAAGTTCTCATTGTGTACCACAACTTTTTTTTTGCTAGTTGGTTCAAATTAGCTGTGGTCATTAATGCAAACAAACAACATAATAGTGCTGCACCCTGTTTGGCAAGCCTTATAACTTTTTAATGCTGTTTAATATCATAGAACCAACTTGTACTTGAAACGGCTGACAAAATTCTTTAATTTCTTTAAATATGAATACTCATAAGGTTAACATGAGAAAGTCCAGAGCCAGAGCCACCGGGGCGGAGACTGAAAGAATTTTTGAGGTAAGAATATGTTAATCGGGGATGTCATCTATCATCATACCAAATTTCAACCTTGACGGTTTAGTATTTTTCGCGTTTGCTTGTCACAAACATCCATCCATCCATCCATACATCCATACATCCATGGTTTGCACTGTAAACATAAAGCTATCACAATAGTTCCAAACCGACAAATAGAAAAATAGGAAAATATAAATAAATATGGAAAATAGGGTAATTTTCTAACATATTTTAGTGAAATTATATAATCAGGCAAATGGAAATTCAGTCTACAGATTTGCTGTGGCAGGGGGGTTATATTACGGTTTACACAAAAATAAATCAAAACAGAAACCTCATAACACTCAGGAAAAGGGCCTAGGTTGATAGGGCAACGATTATAGAATCTTAATTATTTCCTATATCCATGATGAATGATTTCTTTTAAAACGAATTATTCCCAGTAAAATATTATTAGAGCATTTCACAAAAATAGAACAGACTCAGTATAATAGATCATAAACAAATGAAGTAACTGAAAGAATTATATACTAATTAAATTACATTACATATGGTTTGAAAGCTACATTTAAGTAATGTAAAATAATTTTTACATTCGGGCTAGTAACATAATTTTTTTTAATTTATAATCCTTACCCTCTCTGTTCTAATATTCGTGCATTATTTAATATGTTTGAACCAGCTGTGTGGAATTGTGAAATCAAAATTCATTTGACATTTAGTTCGTGTTGTTTACATTTTTAAATTTAAATTAGGTGAACCAACATATTGGCCCTCTGATCGTCAAAAAATACCAGACTTTCTTGATTTTTTCGTTACGAATGGTGTATCCCGAGATTGTGTGACAATCGAGCAATCTCTGGACCTTTCCTCAGACCACTCACCTGTAATTTTAACGATCGCTTCAACTGTTATATTCAAACCTATTTCACCACATTTATGTAACAAAAATACAGATTAGAATTATTTTCGTGAATTAATGGATCAAAATTTAAAGATTTCTGTGTGTTTGAAGAGCGAAGAAGATTTGAATCTTACTGTTGAACATTTCAACAAAACAGTTCAAGACTCCGCTTGGAGAGCAACTCCAGACCAGAATAAACTTAATATAAAATCAGGAATAAGCTATCCAATTGATATTAATAGGAAAATTGCCGAAAAACACCGACTCCGTAGAATATGGCAAAACTCTAGAGATCAGACGGATAAAAGAAATCTAAACAGGGCCACTCAACAACTTAAAAGGTTACTGTTTAAATTAAACAATGACAGATTTCAAGATTTCACATCAAACCTTTCTCCATCTGAAGCTAGTGACTACTCCCTTTGGAAAGTTACAAAAAACTTAAAACGTCCACAAATTTGTATTCCACCTATTCTAAAAGAAGACTGTTCTTGGGCCAAAAACAACATCGAGAAAGCAGATGTCTTTGCTTCATACTTCAAAGAAGTGTTCAAACCATAGAATACAAATTCAAACGTTGAACAAGAAATTTTGGAATTCCTCGATTCTCCAAATCAACTTGATTTGCCGATCAAATTGTTTAAACCATCCGAAGTAGCTAATAGCTATTTACTTTACAAGTGTAGTAAGAGCGTTTTTACATCACGCAGGTGAAGGTTGTGCAACGAGCGGAAGCGAGTTGCATAATTTACCTAAGTGATGTATAAACACGCTCTTGCGTAACGTGTAACGTACAAGATTTTACCTGACCCGACAATATACAGGAGGTTACGAGCAATATTAATCATTATCCATTTCACTCATCTTCTAACAGTAACGTTCATTTACAAACAAAAGCTAGGTTAGGAAAATTCTTCAAAACATAACAATAAAATTCAAGAGCACAGCTGATCTCTAGCGTTGAACGTCGTTGGCTCCATAGAGGTATATTTTTTAAGTTAATCACTCAATGTTATTTAAATGGGTTTCATTACATCACCGAGTGAGTTTTTGATACTTTACATCACTCGAGAAGTAAGGAAGTTGTATACATCACGCTTGGGATAGGGAAGTTTAACATGGTGGGTTAGGTAAAGTAATAAAAGGTGATTTAAACGGCAAAAAAGCCCCCGGTTATGATCTGATAACAGGTAAAGTTTTGAAAGAGCTGCCTAGAAAAAGGAATAGTATTCCTTACAGTACTTTTCAATGCAGTTTTACGCCTCGAATACTTCCCAATACAGTGGAAGGTTTCACGAATTGTTGTCATTCCGAAACCTGGTAAACTTTTAAATCAAGCATCCTCGTATCGGCCTATATCTCTTCTTCCCGTGGTTTCAAAAGTTTTTGAAAAACTTTTTTTTAAACGACTCCAAATTATAATTGACGAAAAAGAATTGTTGCCTTCCTATCAGTTTGGATTCCGCCGAAAGCATTCCACCATTGAGCAAGTGCATAGAATAGTGAATGTAATCAAGGAAGATCTTGAAAATAAACGTTTTTGTTCATCTGCTTTTTGGACGTAGCCCAGGCGTTTGATAAAGTCTGGCACACAGGACTATCGTTCAAAATTAAAACTTTGCTGCCCCATACACACTATGGAGTGTTGAAATCGTATTTGTCCAAACGCTTTTTTCAAATTAAATATCAAGATGTAGTTACAGGTGTGTATGAAATTGAATCAGGTGTACCACAAGGCAGTGTTCTTGAACCTATTTTGTATATTTTGTTCACGTATGACCTTCCAAGTACTCAGGGTATTACAGTTGCAACATTTGCAGACGACACTGCTTTTTGGTCATCAAATCAGGATCCTATTCTAGCATCATCAAACCTTCAGGCTGCATTAGACGATTTGTCTCAGTGACTACACAATTGGAAAATTAAAGTAAATGAAACAAAATCCGTTCAAGTTACATTTACTATGTCTACAAGAACTTGTCCCCCAGTAACATTGAATAATGTAATGCTTCCACAATCCAACAAAGTTAAGTACCTTGGTATGCATCTCGACAGACGGCTTACATGGCATTCACACATTTGAAACAAACGACTTCATTTAAATTTAAAAACAAACAAACTAAATTGACTTATTGCTCGAAACTCAAAATTATCTGTTCAAAATAAATTACGTTTATACAAAATTATATTGAAACCTATTTGGACCTACGGTATCCAACTCTGGGGAACCACTTCAAACTCGAACATAGAAATAGTTCAACGATTTCAATCTAAAACACTAAGAAAGATTTTACAAGCACCTTGGTTTGTCACAAATAAAGTTATTCATCAAGATACAAAATTACCCTATGTTAGAGAAGAAATAAAAAAACCAAGTGAAAAATATCAAAGAAAATTAGAAATCCATCCAAATTTCCTGGCAGTTAACCTCCTCGATAATCGTGAAGAAACATATAGGCTCAAAAGAGTTAATCCAATAGATCTTCCAAATCGTTTTCAGTTCAATTTTTTTAAATTGTTTGTATGTTAGTGCACTTGATAGAGTGTATCCAACCCATGTTATAAGGGTCATGAAATTTACTTATTGTTCTAGTATAGAATAGATTGTAAATAAATACTTGTTAAAAAAAATTATTTTGTAGGTTTTCTCTTGTTACCATCGATACCATCAATCAATATTTTAAAATCTCTTACCTCAAATTTTTGAAAGCCCACGGGGCAGAACCCTAGGACAATAACGAAGAGGGAATGGTTGTATAATATATATCTTCGGAGTTGTAGCTTCATTTGCGTGCAATTTGAGCCCAATCGGTTCCGTACTTTTTGAGATTATCTCATACAAACACACAGACACACATACACAAAACACACATACACCCAGACACCACCTCTTCTTTATAATAGTATAGATAGATAGATTACTATTATAGTATTATATATTGTCTGTGTTATGGCTAAAATACGTTTTTATTACTGCATCAGCTGGAGACACTCTCTGAATATCTGCTTCAACCATTTGTTGTCAAACATTGATCTCGTAAAACAGTGAAATTATTTTTCGTATACACTAATAGAGCAAGGTTTGTACAAAAAAAACCTTCTTTTAGTTTAGAAAATACAAGTTTCACAGGATATAATTTTAACCATTGTAGTAACACCATTATAGCTTAAAAAGTTGATAAGTGATAGTTCACATGATATTTAGCACATTTGACGGATAAACCTTTTTTGAATTCGTCATTATTATAAGTGTATGACAATTCATATATCTGTGTATCAATATCTACTTATCTCATTTCTGTTCAATGGAAGTTATGCAATTTCAATGATACCGGTACTTAAATGGGAAGTCTTACAGCTGTTATAAAACTGTGCATACATTTTATCTTACGAGTAAATTCGCTACCAATTGATATAGTACGACAATTCTATTCTACTGCAGTACTTAGAATTCTACCACTACTCACATTAAACCTACCATATTTACTTTTGGGCTAGTGATTAATTTATTGTATTAATCATACAATATAGTGAATAGTGTTGTCATTTATTTATCTCGTTTCTATGACATAACTCTATTTTGTAGAAATCAATTATGCAATCATAACAACAGAAATACTGCATCATTACATTTTACGGTGACATTGTATTTATTTTACATATAAAAATTTTAAGCTAATGCAATAATTAGTTCAATTAGAACCATTGAATATTGAATAATTTAAACATTAATCGAAGACGAAGCGGTTGACAACTTTCAAACAGTTGACTAGGCCTAGTTGCCTTCAATAATTGCAATGCGAACTGTATGCACTGAGGTCGGCAAACAGTGTTCACAGTGTGCAGGCCCTTTGGACGTCGTGGCACTTGGACGTCGTGCAACAGTCAAATATTGATTGGACGTCGTGGCACTTGGACGTCGTGCAACTGACAGAGGCTTTGGACGTGGTGCAAATGATACTTTTTTACAATTCTACAGTGCGCTGTTTCACGACGTCCAAGTGCCACGACGTCCAAAGCTTGTAGAAAGACTATATTTTTGGCAGTTACTGTACTTTTGGACGTCGTGGCACTTGGACGTCGTGCAACAACTCAAAAATTATGTTTTGGACGTCGTGGCACTGAAAAAAATATTATTGGACGTCGTAGCACTTGGACGTCGTGCAACACTCCCGAGTTCGCGAACCAGCACGATCGGACCATGGGAACGGGGCTTTACGGGGGGTTTTATGGGGTAAAAATTGGTTTTTCTCACTTTTGACCCTCGAAACACAAAATTTCCCAATTTCTCTTTAGACCTTTTTAAAGAGCTTAAAAAAAACAAATAATTTAGTACATAAAAGTATTTTTTTTCAATTATTAGTAACGGAGAAAATTAAAAAAATTGTAAATATAAAATTCCCATGTCATTCTTATGGAGAATATTGTCAAATGTTGTAGTTTGCTTGTTTATGAATATATTTTGATCAAACTTGGCAAATTTATTTATTTTGTACTAAGCTATCAATATTTTACTCAAAAACACACTTTATTAGTTTTCTTGTAGCAGCAAACCTAGGTACTCGTTAAACCTAATGTTATTAAAATATATTTAACTGAAAATCAATTCAGACAAATGGAAATTCGCTTAGTCGGCAGGTTTGCTGCGGCGGGGGTATTTATTCATCCTATTAAAATAGGTCATGTTATGGGAAAACATTAAACAAACCATGTGATCGTCCACATTACAAAGGAAAAGCTTTAAACAAGGCGTTATACAAAAGAATTTTACTGTATTATACATAAGTATGTACAATATTATATGGTAATTAACAATATATAATAATTACGTACGGTAAATAAATATATATCGTTTCATATCCACATGCAACAAAATAGTAATATCTATTAAATCCTAAATAGTTTGCAAACATATATTCCTTAAAAAATTCACTGCCTAAATAGTAACCACTTTAATGGGGAAACGTAACATACAATAGGTAATGAAATTTGTCATAGCCGTCAGTGCTAACTATGCGCTGCAATACAGCTACTGTAGATAGCAACACTAGCGCACGTAAACCAAATTATTGTTTGAATATGGTTGGACTGTGGTATCAAAAGTATCCATTATTACTCTTTTATATGGATGTAATAAACTGTAGTTTTAATAGGAAGTAGAAAGTTCATATATATTGAAACTTAAGTAAGCTTGAACATGATGAGCTTGTAACATATCCAATTACTATAAGCTTAAGACATTTTAAAATAATAATCATTATATTGGCAGGTCCATCAGAGGTTATAGAGCTCCTGTTACCCGCTATGTAACAGTGAATATATACAATGATCATAGTAATGTATGAATTATACCTCTTACGAGATGTGTCTACAGCAACAGAGTAAACATTTATAAGTTAGTAATTATACAGGGTGTTAATTTAAAAACTTGCATCTTTATTTATGTAAAAACCGCAATAGATAGAAATATGCAGTTTGCGGGAATCGTCTATTGACGTAAGGGGCCCAATTGTTTTGAATTCAACGTTACATTCACATTCCCCCCCTTCCCCCCCTGCCACCAACTTAATTTTGTTAAATACCAAAGTACCCCTTGTGACATATCAAATGAAAGAGCATGAAAAAAGAAAATGTTTGATGAAAAAAATTGAAAATCGGTTTATAAATTTGCGAGATATTTCTCCCCCCCCCCTCTCCCCGGAACTTAATTTTTTTTAATAGCAAAGTACCCCTTGTGACATATCAAATGAAAGAGCATGAAAAAAGAAAATGTTTGGTGAAATTTATTTGTCATTTGATATGTCACAAGGGCGGGTACCTTGCTATTAAAAAACAAGTTATGGGTAGGGGAAAAGGGGGGTGATTATCTCACAAATTCATGAGCCGATTTTAAATTTTTTTTCACAAACAATTTTCTTTTTTCATGCTTTTTCATTTGATATGTCACAAGGGGTACCTTAATATTAAAAAAAAAATTAAGTTCCGGGGGGGGAGGGGGGAAATATCTCACAAATTTATGAACCGATTTTCAATTTTTTTTCATCAAACATATTATTTTTTCATGCTCTTTTATTTGATATGTCACAAGGGGTACCTTGCTATTTAAAAAAAATAAGTTCGTGGCAGGGGGGAAAGGGGGGGAATGTGAATGTAACGTTGAATTCAAAACAATTGGGCCCCCTACGTCAATAGATGATTCCCGCAAACTGCATTTTTCTATCTATTGCGGTTTTTACATAAATAAAGATGCAAGTTTTTAAAAAATCACCCTGTATATAATATGTTACAGAATGATGATTTATTTTGGCCGGTCACATTTGTCATTATTCAGCCCAATCTAAACCTGTAAGAATCAATACAGTATCACATTTAATAAACGTTTGGCTGCCAAAATAAAACTAAATTACCGCTAAGCTCTCGTACAATTGAAGATCCAAAATCCCTGGTAAAGACCGGTATAAAGAATGCCTTTTTATATTTACTGTCCTTAAACTTTAAAATATTTAAGTGTTGGGAAACAAATATTGTAATCATATAATAGCATCAAAACGAAAATGCAAATAAGGAAGTGAACTTTTGGTTAGGACCCAAAGGATTATTAAAAGATGACATTATACTTTTATACAATCAGTTTTGTATGCAATACATTCTTTCGCAATATACCTGTAATGATAAACACCTCAGATTAATAAGGTTTTAATCAACTAAAACTGTACTACAACAAGTATCCTAACATTTTGTGTTTTGACTAAATGTAAACAAAGGTTAAATCATATGTTTTACAATACAATTGGTTTGAACAAATTAAACAAGGAACAGAAGGAAGGCAAAATATTATGACAATACCTTTAAGTTAAAAGTCAAATATAAAATGTATGGAATGAAAATTAAATGAATGTTAGTTATGAAAAATTTAAGAATTGTACTGTTTTTCAAGAATACTGCGAATTACAACTAAGGGTCTGAGTCTACAGCAATACTAAGCTCGTCTGCACCATTACTAAGCTAATAAATAACTAACGACTTGTATTCTTGGATAAGAGGTTTTAAGATTCTGGATATGGTTGTAGAGTGGATAGTATAGTAAACAAACTTGGATCATTCTGTCATGACAGTGAGGTCAAATGAAGCCAATTAGTTAATCTTTGGTGCATCCACAAACCTCATCAGTGAAATGGCTTCAGTCATTGGATGTTACGTTACGGTACAAGGCACATTACAACTGTAAAGGTTATACTGGGATGGCAAAACACATTACTTCTTGTGACGTTACGTCTTAATCAAATTGAAAGTATCTAGTTTCAAGCTTTATAAAAATTAAGTCACAAACACCAATTTGAAAGGGAAATTTCCTAGATGTACAATACAGTTGTCCGCTTGCAATATTGAGCAGAGCTAGCATTGATGTAATATTTTTCTAAAGTCAATGCTAATACATGGGTCTGTGGTGCCTAGTTTTCCGTCTGTCTATATTTATGTGTTTAAAAAAAATAATAACTCCTAATCGGTTTGAGATACAGCGTTGATATTTTGCAAACATCTTTATCTTATTAAGACCTATTATCGTTATATAAATTATACAAAAAAATCATTAACCATTTCAAAATGGCGGCCGTTTAAAATTGTTTATGCCTAATTTCACGAAAACCGTTAACTTTACATTAATGTTGAAAGGCACAAAAAAGTTAGTAAATTTTATGTAGTTTTCAATTATACCTTATTTGTTAAGATTGGATAAATAATAACAGAGAAACGTGCTATTCTTGACAAATAAGGTATCATGGAAAATTACATAAAATTTACTAACTTTTTTGTCTCATGCGATTTTTTTGTAAAGTTAACGGTTTTAGTGAAATTTGGCATAAAATATTTTAAACGGCCGCTATTTTGAAACTGGTAATGATTTTTAGTATAATTTATAACGATAATAGGTCTTAGTAAGATAAACATATTGCAAAATATCAACGCTGTATCTTACCATTTAGGAGTTATTAATTTTTTTGTAAAAAACACATAAATACAGACAGACGGAAAACTAGGCACCGCAGACCCATGTTCCTATGGTGAAATGTATTTGTCTTGACCTAAGGAATAACGCTATATACATATGTCCAGAGAGTTACGGGACACCCCGTATACTTGCAGTATCCAATGCCAATGGTTTATTTGGTTCATATAAATGGAATTTCTATTTGCAGTATCAAAGTCAATATTATAAGTCTGGTTTACGTAAATGAATTGTCTACTTGCAGGAACCAAAGTTTATGTTTAATCTGGTTCTCATAAATTAATTGTATACTTGCCCATGGTTGGTTACTATGATTGTTCTGAATTTAGTGCAGATCACTTCAGCCGTTCAGAAGGAGTATTTGTAAAACAAAATCAGGAGTGTATAAATAAGAGCTTCGCTTCGCTCCACCCTATAATAAACCTGTATAAGCACAGAACATTCATAACACATTGCATATACTTAGCCTTGCAGGAACCAAAGTTTACGTTTCATCTGGTACATACTGGGTAGTTACTAGTAGTAGGATACCCAGCTCTTGCGGGGACCAATCAGAGAGCAGCATTTCATCCCCACCCCTCCCCCTAGGCCACGCCCCCTTTTGTCCCACGTGGTCGCCCTCTGGTGTCCCACGTGGTCTAACCTCACTTTTGTTTTCGCGCCAAACATCTAACCTCACTTTACGTATTGCATACGTAGGTTCCCGCCAAACGAAAAAAACTTCACCTTCCCGCCAAGTAACATAACCTCACTTTCGCGCCAAACGAAAAAAATCACCTTCCCGCCAAGTAACATAACCTCACATTTATTTTCGCGCCAAACGAAAAAAATCACCTACCCGCCAAGTAACATAACCTCACTTTTGCACCAAACGAAAAGAAATCACCTTCCCGCCAAGTGACATAACCTCACTTTTGCGCCAAACAAAAAAAAACACCTTCCCGCCAAGTAACATAACCTAACTTTTGCGCCAAACAAAAAAATCCTCTTCCCGCTAAGTGACATAACCTCACCTCATGTCCCCGGCAAAGAAAACTTGTTGTGCACCCTTTAGGACAGGGTTTGGGACTGTCCGAGTGTCTGAAGGACACCCCCAGGTTCAGGTATTATATCGTATCGTACTTGTATCCAGAGGAACTGGCTTAGTATTATACCATATAATACCCCCCTCCCTTATTTTGAGGGTGCACTTGGAATTGAAAACGCAGTTATAATGTTACAAATATTTATTCTATAAGACACATTACTAATTTATAAAGAATTGAGTGAAGTGTTAAAACTACTGAGCACTACTACTACTACTGAACTACATGCTAAAAACTAATGTTTATAAATAAGCACATTTGGGGAATTCCCCACCATCCCCGTACATTTAACACTATATAATTTAGAGTTTGTGAAAAATTCTAGGTCCTCGTCTGTGAGGAGGCTGGTGAACCTCGAGGGTAAAAATGTCACCCTCTCCTCGCCGGCAGATGTGGTGATGTGTAGTACAATCACCATGGTTCCAAATCTCGTGTTGATTCGTCTAGCAGATTGAATTTTCGCCGGCTCGGTCAGATCTTTGATGGGGACTTTCAAAGGGGAAGAGAGCACCTCGCAAGACGACAGCTTTGTAGAAAGATCCATCTAAAACCATATAATATTGTCGTAATAATATTGTCTGGATAGCCGAGTGGTTATAGTGTTTGCCTTCAAATCTGGAGGTTGCTGGTTCGATCCCTAGTCGATCCCTAAAAACTATGGGAACTATGTAAATATGATAGCAAAGAGGACCCATGCTGTTATTTTTATACTACAAGCTACATTAGTAAACTACAGCAGCGATATTTACCTTGTTGTAGGGGATGTGGAGAGTGTCTACCCCTCGGCAGATGCCTCTGGTTTTATACCGGGGTAGTGGGGAGCGCAAGGGCGGGGCTTAGAAAAATAATTCTTTCCTGCCGAGGACGGCCTTTCTACAGAATGGACACCTAACAATACGATTAGCACAATTTTTACAAAGAGTGTGCCAGCAAGTCATTAATACTATAGTCGGTAGATTTTCAAAACAAATACGACAACTGATTGTTCCTGCAGAGGGTAACTCTTCATTAGAACTGGTATCGCTATCGATATCTCTGGTTCTGTTTATTCGCTCTCCAGTGGAAACTAGTATTGCTTCCAACGAGTCGCGGATGTCTTCCCAAATTGCGGGGGCTATACGGATCATTTCTGGGACATTTGTATCCTCCATAAAGTGGTTAGTTAGCCATAGTGTGTCCTGCAATTCCACTCTGACAGTCTGTACTACTGTCAAGATGTCAATTAGATCGTAACCTTCCGGTCGGCTACCACTCCATCTTTGTAAAAAGTCGGCCAGCCTAAACTCTCGAATTTGTTGACGATCGGCTTCAACTTGGCATGATACACACCGAGCAGCAGACCGTCGCATCTGGAAACATAGGTAAGTGTTTATTGTATGCCTAAATGTATACTTATATGTATTTTCCCCAATCCCGATCTCCTTACCCTAGTTCTTCCTGTTGAGGTTGATGGTTCAGGGTGAGCTCGCATCCATTGTGGAAGGACTCTTGGCACCCCTAAAGATGTTGATGGTTGGGGTTCTTGAGATCTTTGTACAGGGGTCAATGTAGTGTAGACTGGTGGAGGCTGGTCCAAGCTCACGCGTGAATTATTAGCCGCATCCTCGGCTTCCACAAGAGCTCTGTCAATCGGAGATGTACGGTCTTCAGCCATCTAAATAATAACATAGACATGTTGTAAATGCAGCTTAAATGGTGGATAAAAGTTTAACAAAAATCATACAAATAAACCCACCGCTTGGATAACGGATGTAGCTCGCTCGTCACTTAAAAAGGTTGTACTTGTTAAAATATAATTTCTGTCTCTTGTCCTGGGATTCTTCCTGAAAAGAAACTCAAATCAGTTTACATTTTAATGTGTGTTTTGTTTAGTACTTTATGTTACTAGTACTTACTCTTGGACGTTTTTCTGGAGCAGCGTCAGAAGAGGACACTAGCATCAGTAGGAAAACACACACGTTGACAGGAGCCATGGCTTTGAGAAGCTTGCACGTGTTTTGTGCTTAAATAGGCACCCTTGTTCTAAATATAAAATCACAAGGGGAGATCCCCCCTTTAGGTACTTTTGACAGGAGGGAGAGAACCCTCCAGGTACTTCCGCCGCGTGGACTATGGAGTACGGACAGTGTTTAGTGAAATTCTGGTACTATCCGATATTCAATAGATTCATTTGCTGTAGAGTGTGTAATTCTTTTTTGATTGATGGTGCTGATGAAGAATGTGGTTGGTTTGTTACAAATATCTGTGATTTGGACTTTGACAAACTCAAATGTTTTGTTTGTGGAGAGATTCTACCCGTTCTTTGGAGTTTAGACAAGTGACCCAGTTTCCACACCACGGTAAGCTGTTAGGCTAGGCCGTAGGGTCCCAGCGCGTTCTTTTTGTTAACCCAGAGCTTCACCAAGAGTCCTAACCTCTGGGGTAGGCTGCCCCAACCATCGCAGCCTACGGTGATGGCCACTCCATAACAGATTTGCCACCTCCCAATTTTTGGTCCTTTGACAAATGTAAAGGGTTATTTACTCGGTGAAGCCTTTCAATTAACCCTTTTTTACCATTGACAAAGGATATTTTATTTTTATATGTTTTTTTTGTCTCTGTCAACCCGTTCATTTTAAAAGTCATCAGGCCATTTACTAGGCGAACCGTTCATTTTAGCCTACGACATTTTATTTACTAAGAATGACAGAGATTTTTTAATTTTTTGTTATTTTTTTGTCAGATTATAGTCCGAGGTGAGAGGGAAATTAGGTGATATGGAGGATAACGCAATGTTTTACGATTTTTAGGCCAACCTCCGTACCAGCCCCTGGACTTATGGGTTTTAAGCCTGCCTGTTGGGCGAGTACACATACTCACACACACACACTCACACATAGGGAGGATAACGCAATGTTTTACGATTTTTAGGCCAACCTCCGTACCAGCCCCTGGACTTATGGATTTTAAGCCTGCCTGTTGGGCGAGTACACATACTCACATACACACAAGGAAACACCTCGAACTATAATCCGTTTTTTAATAAGGAACATCTCTATCCATGTACATTAAATGGTTATCTACAAAATTACTACTTACATCTTGATATAAAACTACATTGTCCCAATCTACTTTATTTGCAAAGTCGTGGATAAAAGATTCCGACAACTTTTGATATTTACATACAATACTCCAGCACCCGTCAAAGTTTACAGCCATTTCCCGAAGAAAGTATTCGGGGAATTTCTGGCGCTTTAAAATTGGAGCCCAGTTCACTCTGTGAAAGTATATTCTGAGCATTTCAATGGAAAAATCATAATGGGACGATAAAATTTCCCAATCTAAAAATCTACTAAATTTCATGACAAATTTGTCTGTTAGAACCCCGTGGGGCTCTTTGCTCTCCTGAGACAATAGTGACCAGGCGTTCTCCATCTCCAAGCTCATACTGACCGGTTTCATGGAGTGAAAGGTTTAAATAGTACTGTAGAGTGTAGGCTGCGCTGAAAGCGCACCTTTTATGGTCACCGGTGACACAGCTTATTCCCGGTAGGCAGAAATTGTAAATGGATGGGCCAGAGATTTCCCGTACGTTGGGATGAAACCCTCGCAAAAACTCTGCCTTTTCCCTGCCTTTTGTGTAAATAATTTTAAAAGGAATGCAAAGTGCTGTAATTAAACCTTCATTGTATGGTACAGACCCTTCATTCCAACGGATACCATGATGCCGAGTTAACCAGCGAGCGGTTCTTTGCATTTTATCATTTAAATTTGTAATACTATAAGGTGGTTTGAAAATAATTTGGCAGTTCAAAGAGCCGCCGACAACGGCCAACTCTTTAATTATAAATTTGTTATCGTTATCTGTGAAGGCTTGAAACTCAACTACTGCAAACGCCATTTGGCCACCTTTTGTACAGTGATATCTCGTTAAACAAACGTTCGGCTATTAAAGTAGGTAACTGATCTGTACACTCGTTCACACCGGAAAGGACTTGATTGATACACTCTTTGATTAAATCGTCCCGGTAAAAAAGCTCCCTAAGTGAAATGTAAATTAGAGGGAGGTTATTAACAAACATGCACCATTCATTCTGGTTGAGAGTTATAGAGTGCTCGCCGTCAGAGACGTAAGCATACTGATGACCAAAGACCATGTTTACCCTAATATCCTCCCCCGTATCTACTTTGAACGAGTATTGGTTCTTACCCTCGAGTGCTAGGGTGACGTCATTAAAGTGAGTTGCAAGCTGACAAAATGCATCGTACGACCAATAAACACAACCTTTTCTACCTTTAAATAATATTCCGAGCCCTCTATTTAGAAAAATCCCCGTCACGACACATTTTGTTAGGTCATTATCCAAATGATAGTCTGATTTCAAGAAAACCCCGGTTAGTAAATTTATAGGTTCTTTGCTCTTGGGAATGAGCCTCGGCTCTATACTTACATCCGCTCCCTGCAACGTCATCGCTCATACTAAATTTTCTTTAAACGGTTACTTTATTAACAGTACCTGTCAGTAATGAATATGTCATGTGAGTATCATGTAAAAGTAAACAGTACGCGGACGTATTTGCTGTAAAGGCTGTACCGGACTCAAACTCTACTCGCACATCAATAGGGCCTGATTTTATAGAATCATTTTGCTTTGAACAATCAATAACGTACAGGGGTGCTTTGTCTTTGTATTTTTCCTTGTCCACTGCTGGATAGCTTTGTTTCCCGTAGTACGAAGAATGGAAACGGAAAAACATTTCATAGAAGATAGACCAATCACCGTGAATGTTATCATATGGGTAGTACTGCGAATTTAAATAAACTTTAATATTTTTTAGATCGCAAGCATCAAAACATGACATGTCCTTTTTTATGTCATTCTTGCGACTAGTCTGAAATCCTACGATTACGTAACGGGGTTTTTCAAGTTGACTAGAGGTCTTTACAGTCCACGATTGTAAAGTGGTCTGTGGTACTGATGGATACTCGTGCAGTTCCCACGATCTAAACGGCAAATGTACCTTTGTATCTTTTTCAATCATCTTTAGTAGTTTCAAACGGTAAGGATCAGATACGGTAACATGTGGCACCCTCCAGTATACCCCTGTAATTTCCAAAACTACTTCAGCAGCATTTGTACTGTGCACTGCGTTTAAATCGGTCGATGACCGCAAAAGAATCAATTCTTGTCTGACATTAGCAATTACACGCTTATAGTCCTCGGCAAAACCCAGCAACATGTGCAAAGGAACACTGAATGAAAACTCTGTAATTTTCTCCGTTTTCCCAGAACCTAACCAACAAGCGTTTTTTAAACTTTCCAGTTCACCCTGTTGTACCGATAACAGGTTTTTAATGGTGGTTGTTATACCTACATTTTTTATTCGATCGACCTCGACACCCCCGATTTCATATCTAATATCATCAAAAAGAAACGCTACAGCATTATTGACAAGATGAACTTCTGCAGCAGTTCCATCCTGTTTCTTTCCGCTAACTCTGCCCACGATATGGAGAGTACTGTCAAACGGTGCAGTTATTATGTCCTGTTGACTGATTGGTATACGTATTTCATCGTTATTCTTAAAGGTCGATGAAGCGTACGGTTTATGAGTGTGAAACTCAATACGTGTGATTACATCACTGTACTCTGCTTTATTTTCTATGTCCAGCATTTTGAACTTTAAATCCTAATGAACGCAAAAACTTTGTGTTGGTTGATGTTAACCGTACAGTGTCTTGACGCTTACTGATGGGTAAAGATTTTGTGACCTCCCTAAATACCAAACCCATTTTTCCTCCTTATATGCAGCCTGATGGATATATTTTCGTTTCTCAAGTTGATTCTCTCACCGTTTTGATCTTTGAGAGTGATTGTAACGTTGTTTATCCTCTTGACGTTCACAGGCAAATAAATGATTGTGTTGGGTACCTCCACTATTTTATAGCCCGGACCCACGTTTGGGTAGAACTCGTGTATGACATGGCCCTCAGCTCCATTGTCATACGAACCTCGAACTATATTACACTCTACGCGTATTACGTTTACATTAATGATGCTTACTGTTCGGTCGGAAGCGTGTTTTTCACCTGCTTTCAAAATTTTACTATCAAAACCTAGTAGAGGAGCAAGCGTGTTACTTTGTGTAAAATCAATAGCTTGGCTACACTTTATTTCCGATTTTAGCGTATTGTTATTTGCTTTCAATTCCAATTCCACATCCTTCCCTACTTTTTCTTTTAGAGCAGTTTCTAAATCTTCAATCTCATATGCCCCTTCAGCTATTTCAATCATTTTACCATCGCCGTAATAAAATTTGTTATTTTTACCCGCTTCAATATTTGGGATCGAGTGAAACGTCATCAAGTCTATAAGGCCAATCTCCCATTCTCCTTCACTAACGTCAACAGGTGGGAAGTAATCTTTTGAAACATAGGAACCCCTTCCACTCAAGCTAAACATTGTCGAGAAACTGTAAGCACAAGTGTCCGCATACAACTGAATTGAAATTTTGCTTTCGCTCGTAGTTATAGTAAATGTTGCAGCTACCAAAATACTGTAAAAGTTCACGTGGTGGCTTGAGATTACCAAAACTATCGAAATAGTACACGATATCTTTTACCTTTTTATAACACACCCAGTGAGTACCGTTGCCGAAACTAGAATCCAAGTTTACAATAGCCGATTCATTTTCTTTTGGTGCGCTAGGTAGAGTGTCTCTCATATAAACTCCTCTAAAGTGTG